AAAACAATCAGCCGGGCGTGGTAGCGCACGCCTGTAGTTCCAGCTACTTGGAAGGCTGAGGTGGAAGGATTGCCTGAGCCCAACAGGTCGAGGCTGCGGTGGCCGGAAGCAGCCACTGCACTTCAGTCTAGGCGACAGAGTGAGACTCCAACTCAAAAAAAAAAATCAGGTTACATTTCTTTTTATTTCTTCCCTACAGGATATATTTTGGGGAAGTTCAGCTGAATGGCTTAGGAGAAGGTATGTATCATGGTTGAAAAACATTTGTAGTGTTAAGAGATCTCCTGACTTCAGAGATGAACTTGGTTGCTACCTGTAATAATATGTAGATTATTATCTTAATATGTATAATAATACAAGTAAAGATAAGATATAGGTAGATGGTCAAAGGAGCTGCCTTGGATAACCACATAATTTTCCCAAAAGTTCCAGGAACTCAGTCTTTTTTTCTTACTCTTTATTTATAATGGTATATTTTTCTAATTTTTTTTTTTTTTGAATTGGAGTCTCACTGTCGCCCGAGTTGGAGTGCAGTGGCATGCTTATAACCACTGCAGCCTCAACCTGCTGGGCTCAGGAGATGCTTCCTCCTCTGCCTTCCAAGTAGCTGCAACTACAGGCACACACACCATGCCCGGCTACGTTTTTGATTTATTGTAGAGAGAGGTCTCATCAAGTTGTCCAGGCTAGTCTTGAACCTATGGGCTAAGACAGTCTTCTCATCTCAGCCTCCCAGAGTGCTGGGATTATAGGTGTGAGCCACAGCACCTGGCCTACAATAAGCTTGTTAAATGTTTGTGATGAACACCAACAATTTTGAAAAACTGGAAGTGAAACCAAGAAAACCAGGGAAGTTTTGTTGAAGGTGTCACCCACAAGGCCTTGGCTCAATCCTATACAATAAGTCCCCCACATGCAAACCTTCAGGTTACAAACTTTAAAGATGCACACCTGCTTTTTTTTCTGTATTATTTCACTCCACCAGGTGTCAGTATAGCCCTTAAATACATACAGTACTATCTAGCTGATTGTATTAGTTGAGTATCTAGGCTAATTTTGTTGGACTTTAAAACAAATTGGACTTACAGATGCTCTCTTGGAATGGAACTCGTTCATATGTTGGGGACTTCCTGTACTTAGTTCCAGAGTGGCAGCTTGGGTGGCCACTTACCCAGTTTATAAATTTACTTCATAAATTGAGGTGTTTGTGTGACAGTTTCCTTGTGCTCTTTTACTGACTGGTTCAGCGTGTGACATGTCTGAATAAGGCTGCGTAGTAGAACTTTCTCGGGCTTTCAGACTAACAGTTATTTTATCTCTTTGAAGGTAGTTTTATATGGAAATGAAATGCTGTTTCCCCTGTACTGGCTCAATACAGAATAAATTGAAAGGGGAAGAAAGCCTACACAGACACACACATACACACACAGTTGAAACTGCTGCACTCAGAGTGCTAAGTAGGTGAAGCTAAAGGTTATGCAGTAGGCTGAATGATTCAGGGAAAGACAAACTAGAGTCAATGCTGATATTCTCTGCAACAAAGCTAACAATTTATCTCTTCTCCTAGGCTTCCAGACAGTTCGCGTTGGGACAGTGGGTACCCCAGTGGGCACCATCACTCTGTCTTGTGCTTACAGAATTAACTTGGCTTTCATGTCCACCAGGTGAGGAAGAGCCCTGGAATCCAAAAGAACTCTTCCAAAGATGTTAAAGTTTTCTTCCCCACAAACTTCAAGACTAAGCCTGTAATTCAGCTTTGCTGAAAACAGCCCCTTAGAAGAATACACTTGAGAAAGAGAGAGCACAGTTGCTAGATCAGAGAATTTGAGTATCCCAGAGCCAACCTGTCCAGAGTTGGTGGATTATATTTAGGGATCTTGATGGTTGAGCCTCTGGCAGTGCCTGCCAACAGATATTAGATGAGGGGCCCTTCAGTGAGAACTTTCAGGGGGCTGGAAAGGCATTCTAACCAATACTATAATCTGCTTATTGCATTACAGGCAATTTGAGAGGACCCCACCTATCATGGGGATTATCATTGATCACTTTGTGGACCGTCCCTTTCCTAGCTCCTCTCCCATGCACCCCTGCAATTACAGGTGAGGAATGTGATATGGTACTCTCCCAAACTGCAGCTAGGCAAAAGCATCCATCCTGCACAGGTGCATAGGGCACCTTTGTCAGCACATACTAGCCAGTGGGTGGGGGGCCACTGATGAAGACCCTGTGTGGAAAGAAATCACATGGCTAGTTTTTCTTTCTGCTGCCTGTTAGGTACACCAAGACTTGGGGTATACAGAATGTCTTAGAAGTTTCTTGGATATTTTGCATCTGTTTTTTTTTTTTGAGTTGGAGTCTCACTGTGTCACCCAGACTGGAGTGCAGTGGCCGCTCCCGGCCACTGCAGCCTCAACCTGCTGGGCTCCAGCGACCCTTCCAAGTAGCTGGAACTACAGGTGCACGCTACCATGCCCGGATAATTTTTTGATTTATTGTGGAGATGAGGTTTCACCAAGTTGCCCAGGCGGGTCTCAAACCAGCGGGCTCAGGCAATCCACTCACCTCAGCCTCCCAAGGCGCGGGATTACAGGCTGAGCCACTGAGCCCAGCTTTATTTTGTATCTTGATGGTAGCGATCTAACTTTTCTCAGTAGCTAGTAACTTAAAGTCTACAAGAGTCGTTTGTGGAGTATCCTTGGCAAATTAGATGGTTTTCAGGTTGCCTTCTGGCACAGTTAGTTATGTATCAGAATAAAATGTCTCCAGGCCTAGATCTCAGAAAACAGAATTTTGTAGTGGTTAAAATAGCTGTACATCAGAAAGGATACTGATTTTATGTAATGGGCTTATGAAGTTGAATAGGTTTGTCTTTAGGATTTAGGCATTTGTTTCACTGAGTCTCTGTTACTGATAAGTATTTGAAGACCCAGGTCTGGTCCCTAACACAGTCCTGGCTTAAGAAAGTATTCTCTCAAATGATAGGTCAGGTAAGATTTTTGGGTTGAAAAAAAATTGTTAAACCTCTGATTGCAGGTCTCTGGAGATGTTTGAAATGATCAAGGACTCAGTGTGCTCTCTTGCCAGTATGAACTCTGCCCAAAACAGTTCTTAGCACAACTCCTGTCCTTATCTAGCCACCCTTTGCATCTTTTCTGAAATTGACTGCCACCACCACAAAATGTGTTCTTTTTCCCCCTTCACTTTAGGACTGCTGGTGAGGATGCTGGAGTAACATACCCATCTGTGGAAGACTCTCAGGAAGTGTGTACCACCTCTTTTTCCACCTCCCCTCCATCCCAGGTAGGGAAAAGTAGATTCTGTGGTATCTGTGTGGTGGTGGTAGTTATTTGGTTTATATACGGGCCTTATGAAACAGTGTCCAAAATTAGTTATAATCCCTTTTGGTGGTGATGGTGATTGTTTCAAGGGGGTTATTTTGAGGGATGAGAATGAACCTTCTTATCTAGCAATAATATTTCTAGTCTGGAAGTATTCATAGCTAACAGGATTACATTTAGCCTTTACCTTTCTGATGACATCTTAAAATTCCCTAGAATCTCATAATTCCAAATGCATTCTGACAACCAGAGTGGTACTCTAACCTACACTTGTTCATTTCATAGCTGCTTCTCTTTTGAAGTGGTAAGTTTCATTCCTAATAATGGAAGGTGCCCCCAAAAGGCCAAAAATTATTTAGTGTAAAATGTCAGGAAGAAACCAGTGGTGTAGCTTTTCTTTATAGTCAACACAGGTTTCTGCCTGTCTGCATTCTCTATCCAGACTTTTTTTTTTTAAAGGAAAAGGGAGCTTGCTATGTTTCCCAGGCTGGTCTCCTGGCATCAAGCAATATTCCTGCCTTGGCTTCCCAAAGTGCTAGGGTTACAAGTATGAGCCACCACGCCTGGTCTAGCCAGAGTTTTTTGTTTTGTTTTGAGTTGGAGTCTCATTGTGTCACCCAGGCCACTGCAGTCTTGACCTGCTGGGCTCAGGCAATCCTTCCAACACAGCCTTCCAAGCAGCCACAACTACAAGCGTGCTACCATGCCTAGCTAATTTTTTGATTTATTGTAGAGATGAGGTCTCACCATGTCGCCCAGGCTGGTTTTGAACCTATGGGCTCAGGCAGTCCTCTCGCCTTGGCCTCCCAAAGTGTTGGGATTATAGACTTGAGTCACTGCGCCCAGCCTCACTTTTTTTTTTAAGCAGGATTTATCAAGAGGACAGAAAATCTCCCACAGTGGGAGGAGACCCGAGGGGGTTGCCCAACATTTTTTAACTATTAACTTTTCCCCTCGAGTCAATCTTCACTGGCAAACCCAGTTTCAATAAAACACAGGCTCCAATCAGTGTTGCAAGCTTCCCCAGAGAAAGCATCTCTGTGGCCTTGTGGTGTAATGTGCATGGTGCTGAACTGCTTCAGCTATGCAGTTATTTTGCAGTTGACTGAATTTCAGGGGCACATTGTTTGCCTTCCACCCCAAGTCATCCTTGCCCCTAGTCCCTGCTCTGCCTGTGTCACCTCCATTACTGCCCTCCTCTTTGACTTTCTTTTTTTTTTTTTAGTTGGAGTCTCACTCTGTCGCCCAGACTGGAGTGCAGTGGCTGCTCCTGGCCACTGCAGCCTCGACCTGCTGGGCTCCGGCGATCCTTCCATCTCAGCCTTCCAAGTAGCCGGAATTACAGGCATGCTCTACCACGCCCGGCTGATTTTTTGATTTATTGTAGAGATGAGGTGTCGCTGCCCAGGCGGGTCTCGAACCCGTGGGCTCAGGCAATCCACTCACCTCAGCCTCCCAAAGGCGTAGGATTACAGGCTGAGCCACCAAGCCCGGCTCGGCCCTAATCTTTTTCAAAAGCAGGAGTTAATATCTGAATGACATTGGAAAATCTATGAATCACTATTATTTCTGTTGTCCTAGTTTGTTTAGGGTGAAAGAGATTCTCGTTCTCAAGTTGCTTAGACAGTTTAGTTTTGGGGTATAAGACCTGTTGTTCTCCTGCCCCCATGAACGTAAGTAGGCATGAGTGTCAGCATTGCTCTGGGTAGAGGAGCTTCCGGTATGCTCACTGACACCGAGCAACACTGACAAAAAAAGGGGAAGGCCCACTTTCTTAACTAGTGCACATTAATGAAAGCAGATTTTTTTTTTACCAAAATGTAGATGTGTCAGATTTTAAAGCTCATTAAGCAGTTTTGTTTTACAATATACTTACAGTTCACTTGGAGCTGTGAGGGGTGGTGAGGCTGGGCCTTACCAAGGAGTTTGTCTCTTTCTCTAATACAGTGGAAGTTTGATCCCAAAAGTAAAGGGAAGTTAAATAATTTCTGCGCCTGGCTGTGCTCAGTGGCTCAGCCTGTAATCCCAGCACTTTGGGAGGCCCAAGTGAGTGGATTGCCTGAGCCCGTGGGTACGAGACCCACCCGGGTAACTTGGTGAGACCTCGTCTCTACAGTAAATCAAGAAGAAAAAAAATTAGCCGGGTGTGGTAGTGCATGCCTATAGTTCCAGCTACTTGGAAGGTTGAGGCAGAACGATCGCCGGAGCCCAGCAGGTTGAGGCTGCAGTGGCTGGGAGCAGCCACAGCACTCCAGTCTGGGCTTTCAAAGTGAAACTCCAACTCTCCAGCTACTTGGAAGGCTAAGGCGAAAGGATCGCCAGAGCCCAGCAGATCGAGGCTACAGGGTGGCCGGGAGCGGCCACTGCACTCCAGTCCGGGTGACAGAGTGAGACTCCAACTCAAAAAAATAAAAAGAAAGAAAGAAAGAAAGAAACTCCAACTCAGAAAAAAAAAATTTCTGCACCTGATGTTTGCAGCAAAGTTTGTTGGCCTGTATGAAGAGAGGTTCTTTTTCATGGTAGTAGTCTCTTATTGTGTCTTGTTGCAGTTTGAAACTAGAGCACATCAAGTTCTTATCAACGGTGTGCACTCCATAAGTGAGCCCTGTCATTTACTCCCTGGGGACCTCTGATCAAGGCTGGTACAGTTGGGTGTAGAAATACTCATTTTGAACCTTGATAGTAGAGAGAGATCAGAGAGAGAAAATCATGTGCTGTCATTTTTCCTCACTCTTGTGAATATTGAAATAGTTTCTTCCTTAGTGACTTACATAATTTTTCAGCTACTCCTATTGGAGTTTTTACTAGAGCCCAGTAAATACATGTTAATGTGATGTTTGTTTTGCCAATAATATAAGGACCATTGTGTCATTTGGGCTCAGAATCTAGAAATGAGCATACTACTGTGACCCAAGGTCCTACCTCCAACTATGCAAATTAGTTAATTGGTGAGGTTTAAAGATGGAGCAGCAAGACCCAAAATAATCATCATGCCCATAAGTAGCTTTGACATCATAAACGTTCTGAAAGTGCCCCAGCTTCTACTCCAAGTTCTCCTACACCATCGGGACTATAAGAACACATACACCCTTGCACACCCACTTGTCTTTCCCGGATGACGTAGGAAACCATACACCCGAGCTCTTGAAAGTTCCGGCCAACAAATTTCTGCTGTCTCAACCTGTCCCTGCAGATTCTGGATTCCTGAAAAAAGCTTTCTGTCGACTGCTAGGAGGCCCACCTCCTCATTCACCTCCAGCACACCTGCCCTGGTTCTCAGTCCTTCCTGCCAGAAGCTCTTCTGTAACTCCCTCCCACCCTTTTTTGACTAGAGACAGGCTCTGGTTTCTCTGTTTTGCTAAGTCATACCAGCCCTACTCAGCTTTGTTATCCAGCTGCTTGTCAGGGAAACAGGCGTGCATGGAGGCCCAGAGATAAACGGCACTCTAGGGACCCTTCCAAGTCCCTTTGGGAAGACAGCCACGCCCTTCTTCCTGCTTCACTCCTGACTCACCAGTATCTTTTCCAGCCTCTCTTGCTGCTGCCCCTTCCAGAGTTTTTTCACTCTTTCTCAAGTCCCTTTTCTTTTTTTCTTCTTGTTTCTCCTGTCTCTGTGTGTGTCTGTGCACAGTGTGTGTTTACTGTCACAAAGGCACATTTTCAGACCCCTACTCCTGTGGTGACGGACACCCTGAGAGTCCCCATGGCAGGACTGGCCTTTTCCCATCAAGTGAGTCCATAATGGGAAGAAGGGGATATAATCCTATGGCATCCTTTTATTTAAAAATTGTCAATAAAGTACAGGGTATACTTATTTGAATGTCCCAAGTGTTCTGTGGGATTATTTTGAGACTTGGTAATAGATTTTAATAGGACACAGCCACAGCCCAGCAGCCCAAAATAGGTGGTTTCATCTGCCCCTCCTCCTATCATTGATGTGAAAAATACATGGAGTTATTTATATCGAATTTCCAAATAAACAACTCAGGACTGGTCATCTTTCTTTTTTCAATATAAATAGCAACCCTCCCATACCCAGGGGTGATGGAGGGTGTGATTAGAGAAGATGACTTTCTGTTTCAAAGGGACCTCAGGACAAAGGAGAAAATAGAATGACTTTGGAAAACCTGATGTCTTGGCTCGAGGTTCTGCCCAGGCTTGTGCCCCACAGATGGGCTGGGCTTAAAACTGAAACAGTTAGCCAAGTCCCTGGGGGAGAAAGAATTCGTTGGAGGCCTTCGGGAGGCTCTACAGCTGGGAATCCTGAGCCCAGTACGAACAAGTCCATGTTTTCTTCTCGAAAAAGTGAACGGCCTGGTCTACCTTTAATCGTAATCACACTAGGTCCCACATGTGGGCACTTAGGCTGCTTCTTATCTCTCCGTGGAGCTGCTCTTAGTCACACTCTAGGATTGCCCATTTTTTCCTTGCGTTTTTCCCTGCCCCTCTGTGTTTTTCTCTTGCTTAGCTTTCCAGCTCTCGTCTTTCCTATCAGCCTGCTGTCCTGGGCGTTGGATCAGCTGACCTGGCTTATCCAGTAGTGTTTGCTACTGGCTTAAATGCTACACACCCTCACCAGGTATCTTTAAAGATGGGGAGGGCCATGGGTTTCCAGGGCTGTCTCCCTTTCCTGGAGGCAGTTGAGGGCCTCTTGAGGCAGAGGTCTGTTCTAAGGCTGTATTCCGCAGCAGACTCTTTGGCCACTTTGGAGGGCTAAAGTGACTCTGAGAGGAAGGAGCCTCTTAGACTTCAAAAAGAAGTCTTTCCCTGGATTTTTCTCCCTCTCCTTTTCTTTTCTCTCAGGGTTGTTACCATGCATGTCTTCCATTAACTGAGCCCCAGAGAAGATAAAGATCCAGGGATTTCTGCCCATTTGGTGGCAGCGTTGGTGATGGAAAACTTGAAATCACTCAAAACACTGTCATGACATTTCTTTCCATTTTCCCCCAAAGCTAATGGTTCCCGGGAAGGAAGGTGGGGTACCCCCTGCTCCCAACCAACCTGTCCACGGTGCCCAGGCTGACCAGGAGAGATTGGCAACCTGCGCCCCTCCTGACGGGGCCCACTGTGCTGCCACACCTTCCAGCAGGTGAGTTCACATTTTGACTCTGCCTCTGCTGAGTCTGAGTCTGATCGGGGGCCTGGGCTCCCCAAAACACGTGTGCTTACTTGGTATTGGTAAAGAGGAGCTTTCAGCATTGGCTGGGGCTTTGCATTTGTGCCCAGAGTGTGGACTCCTTAGAATTCTCTGGTGAGAATCTAATGCTGTAGCTGGGATGTGAACAGACTGGCCCAGGGCTTTACTGCTTACCGGAAATAGCAGCTGCTTGGTTCTTATCACCCCTATCCAGTGAAGGGGTGGTCAGATGTGTTTCTCTTACCCCGAGATTTATTCCCTTTGAGTCAACTGAAGACCAGAACAGGGTGTTTACCAGAGCCCTGAAGTTTGGGGCCACAGTGTATCTGGGTTTGTTGCTGGGATCGATTTTCTGCTGAGATCCTTTGAAAACTTCTATTTTGGGCAACCCCCTTGGGTCCCCTCCCACTGTGGGAGCTTTTCTGTCCTCTCAATAAATCCTGCTTTCTCACTTAAAAAAGAGAAAATGTCTATATTTCCTCATTTTAAAATACATATAAATCTTAGTCTTTTCTGATTATTGAAGTGAAACTATCTGTAAAATTCACATTATGAAGATTGATTAGGTAGGAAGCAAAAATTCTTATATTTCCACCCTGCAGAAGTCACCCTGTCACCTCCTTTTTAGAGAGGAGAGAACCTCAGAAGGGTTAAGTATCTGGATGGGGCCCACTTTGCTCACAAAGTCTCGGCGCCTTCTTTCCATTACATGGGCACTCCCTAGGCACTCCCTGGAAAGCCGCAAACTGACCTGCCCTGCCCCCCTTAATCTAGAAGGCCCCAAGATGATGAGATTGCTTTGTCCCGCCACATTAAATGAACGTTCTCATCATAGAAATCTCTGATCTATTGTATTCATTCCCTTGATAAAGTGACAAAGCGGGAGGGGAATTGTTTAGGAAGATTTTTTTGTGTGCCATCCATCAGGAAAAGTAATTTATTTTATTCCTGGCTTCTCAAACTTCCATCCTCACTTGTTCTCCCTCTGTTATGTGATCAAAGGCATTTTACAGGCTCAGTTTCTGAGCCTTCATGTCCAAGAGCAGCTAAAGACAGAGGCCCCTGTTCAGGGGTTCTGAAATGCAGGTCACAAAGCTCAAAAGCCTTTCTGCAGGACTGGTCCCCCCTGCTGGCTCAAGTCCAGTGGCCACTTGACTACACAGGCCTCCTGCCCACCTTGAGCCCCATTTTTAGCCAGAGGACCTTTCTTGTCCCCTACTGCCTGCAGGGCTGTGGCTGCTGGTCTGGCAACCACAGCATGGGCCCTGTTTCTGCTGCTTAGTTTGCCCGGTGCAGGACTCAGCACCAGTCTGGAGGGCTGGGGAGGGAGTGGAAGCAACCAAGCTGAATGTGTTGTTCAAAGATCTTTAGGAATGGAGGTATGACTGGGGGTGAAGGGTAGGGGGTAGTGTTGAGGGAAGGAGGAAGCATGGCAGGGAGCACAGAGACCCTCAGGCCAGACAGTATGTCAAGGGCAGAGAAAGCTCTAGCTGGCTAAGGAGTCAGATTTGGGACGCTTGACTTTGAAAAATTGCTGGCAGTGTCTCTTGTGAGGGACGTTTTATTTATTTATTTATTTATATTTATTTTTTTTGAGTTGGAGTCTCACTCTGTCGCCCAGGCTGGAGGGCAGTGGCATGCTCCCAGCCACCGCAGCCTTGACCTGCCGGGCTCCGGTGATCCTTCCGCCTCAGCCTTCCAAGTAGCTAGAACTACAGGCGCGCGCTACCACGCCCGGCTAATTTT